TATCTGCCCTTCCCTCAATGCCCGCTAACGCCTGTGTCATGTGCAATCACTTCAACACGAGTCCGACACCTTCCCATCTCCTGTATACCTCGCAAGGGTCTTCTCCTTGGAAATTCGAATCAGAGGGTGTGTTTCCTGCTGAGTCTTTGTTCAAAAAGCACCACCACCCATTCATAATCCCTAGTTCCAACTCTTCCCCTTTCGACAGCAGATGACGGCAGACTTGTTGTGGGCGAACTCCTTCAGTCCGATTTCTTGCCCTTTGCTGCTGCTCCGGTATTGCTCAAGCCTCGTCTCAAGACGGCTCCCTCTCCATCGCTCCTCCCACTAGAGCCCATCGTCATTGGCGCAGCGTCGAGCATGCCTGTGCTAGTCACTCCGCTGCTTGCTGGCATAGACAACCTTCCATCATCGCTGTTTGTATCCGTCAACTCGATTAGATCCAGATCATCTACTTGACGGCTTAGGGACCCCAAGGTAGGCGTGCCCGGAGACTTTGCAAATGCGCCTCGAAGCCACGTCTCCACTGATGCTGCTGCGCGGTCTAAGCCAGAGCCTTGTCGGGACGTTGCTGACAGATCCTGTCCCTCGTCAAAGGGACTTTCCACAATGCCGCTGCTGGAACCTGGCCGAAATCCAAAGTTTGCAGTCTCTGACCCCATGACGGAAATCGATGGCAGAGACTCGTCGATGGCGATTCCAGGGAGGTGCTTCTTAGCCCAAGAGTTTAAATAATCTTTCTCCGGACCAGGTGCTCGTACACTTCGCCCCATAGAGCCCACACCTCCAGGCCTCCTCATCCAAGCTGGCCGCGTGTCGCCCGCATCACTGCCCATCCTGCTTCTCGACGATGCCGGAGTCGATCGCCCTGGAGTGCCGGGGAGGTTTGGCCGACTACTCAAGTTGCTCTGGCGCCGCGATGATGGCCTGCCGACTTGCTCGGGACTTTCTGTGAGGCCAGCTGTAATTGCCGCGGCATCGAGAGAGTGTCTCGGCGTCGATATGCTTGAGGTGCTTCGGAGGCTCTTCTTCCGTCGTGGAGGGAAGTACCCAATTGTTTTGCTCGACACGCGGGCGATCTCAACTGGTTTGGGAACAGAATCCAGTGTAACCCATCGAACGTGAGACCAAGGAGGCTCCTCCTGATCTTCACTGTTGGAGAGTCGAGACGCTGAGCCGTTTTGAGCCGGCAGACTGAAGAAGTCGACTTGTTGCGGTTGTGCCGAGGTCTGCTTACCCCATCCATGAGCGCTTCGAGGTTCCGGTGTTGGGGCAAGCAGGTCGACACTTTGCCCCTCGTGCGAAGGCGGCTCGCAAGGGCGACCCTTAACTTCGCATGCATCTACTGGTATGGCAAGCCACTTGCGCACCAGTATATCTCTAGACCACAGGCCGTTTGCCTTTCTGAATGCGTCTTCGCGGCACCTGTACTTGAGCACTATGCCGGCATAGGTGTCAGTTGGTTGCACATGGTGTATATACACCAGTTGATCTTGGACCTCTTCTTGCTGTGGTGCGTCCCTGGCGACTTCGTCCGAGTTCCTCTTCTTATACTTGCCCGACACATCAAGGCCTCCATTAACTCCGTCGTGACTCTCCAGGACGCTCGCTGTCCGGGCTGCCTTGAGGGCAGCATCTCTTTCTGCGAGAGAGCCTGCTGCAATGTCTCTCTGAGCAGGCCGATTACTGGGCGGCGGCGCGGGACCCCAGTCTTTGGGAGCCTTTCGTGGCGGGGTAGAGTAATCTCTTTTCAAAGGATTGATGTTCGTCCGTCTCCCTTCCCGGTGATCTGACTCGTAGCCCGCATCGTGGACACTTCCACCAGACAAGATGGAAGAAGCAAGCCCCTGGATAGAAGCCCAGCCTTGCGACCATGTGGTATCGAGGAAACTGGCCGAGTTTGGTGCGGTGTTGTTTCGGCGGGCGGCGGAGGATGCACTTCGAGCACCAGACTTCGAGGCATCTCGGGATAAGTGGCCGGAAGGCATGGGGCTTGGCTCGCGGCTTGGTGAACGTAGGGCAGAGAAGGAGGCCGAAAGCCTGTCCAGGGGTCCTCCGGCCGCTGAGGAATCCTCTACAGTGCTGATGAGTCGCCGGTTGCGTGGGCGGGCTTCAGCATCATGACGTGCTGGCATGAGGGCCGAAGAAGACATGTGTGATGTCGACCCAGCCGGGTTTAAGGAATCTGCCATGATGGAGCCAGGCCGCCCACCTCGTCGCTTGGGTGGAAGGCAGTTGAAAGGGAGGGCATCAGCGCGTGGCTTCGATCATCGACAGTATTCGGTCGCTTGGAAGACGGTAGTAGGCGATCTGGGTGGTCGGCGCCGTGGGCGACTTCGGAGTAGGAAGCACAGAAGTTTGAGAGTGGTAGGGAGTTCGAAGGAGCGGGCGAGGAAGTGTGTGTTTCGGTCAAGGCGGATTAGGTTCACAGGGGATGTCAGAGTGTCGCTCTCGCGTGTAATTCGAAGAGTAGGGCGGCTGAGGCGAAGGGAGGAGCCGGTAGTCTTTGGTCGGGTGAGGAATGAATGGATGGAAGTGATGGAAGTGATGTAAGATGGCCGAATGGATGGACAATTGGAACCGTGGTGGTGTACCTTTTCTTTAGCGTATGCAGTAGTAGCAAGCAAGTAAGCAGTGACAAGCAGCAGGCAGTGGGAAGCGGTGGTAGGATGGCGACCGACCGTGGGTGGTGGCAGCGGGAGCGTACCGGTACTGTATGTGCGTATGTGCGTATGCGATATGGGCACCTCTCCACTGGGTTAAGTGTCCTCCCATTGCGGTGCTGAGGCGGCGGGTTGCACTGGGGCCCGTCGAGGGACGTGGACCGGGGTTTGCCAAGGGACCTGAAGGGACCCTTGGCCAGCCGCCAAAGACGACGCAATCACGCACCGAGAACTATCTGAAAGGTACTTCCGAACCTCGTGGCTCGAGGTACTTAGGTAATGTAGGTAAGGTAGTTACCGAGGATTGCTTGTGGCTCCCTGTCCTATCCGTACTGAAATGATTAGCGGTCCTCCCAGTGGGGACAGAACAGGTGGCACTCCTGCAATCCCCCAATTCGCTTGAGGCCTGGGCTGTTTGAGGTCCCGAGTTAGCGGGCTACGGACATGAGTTCCCAGCGGTGGTGGGGGAAAAGGACATGACTGTCAGTCCTAATTGCTGGAGAGACCTGGCAAGCCTGGGACTCCTGGGAGAGTCATGTTCGCTGGCTCGCCCACCACCTGCAGTAACCAATTCGCCCCTCTTGGACTTCGTAGCTACCTTACTGCCCCTCCGCCGGGTGAGGACATGAACCGTGCACGGCCATTCCACTCCTCCGACTCGACGCTCCGCCCGCCTTCCAGCGGCCCCACTCAAAACACTTTGTGCGAGTTCGCGGTCGCGGCAGGTACCTCTTTTTCCCCATATTGCAGAACTTCAAGGTACTCCGTACGAAGCTGGAATTCAGGTTCTGGCGCAGCGCAGACAAGCTCCGGTATAGACGGGCACGACCGTGCCACACGTCGCAATCGCCAATATCAATAGTCGCATACGGTCGAACAAGATACAGTAGCGAGCAACAACCTATTATCGCCGTTACCCATGCCGAACGATTCATCCCCTTGCGACGTCTTTCGACCCTGAACCCACCCCAGCTTGCGATGCCGATTTGTATCGAGTGCCGCCATCCGGTCAAGACACTATGGACCAAATACTCCAACGCTGACGACAAGTCGAGTGGTCACAACATTCGTCTGACCGTTTGCAGAAACTGCGGTCATTTTTGCGACAAATACGTCGAGCACGATTTCGTGGTGCTGTTCATCGATCTCGTCTTGATTAAACCCCAGGTCTATCGTCACCTGTTGCACAATACCTTGATGAAGGATGACGACCGTTTTGATGTAGGTCATAGGGATTTGCGTCACCTGTCTACTTCCAAGATCAAGATCTTTACTGACGGCTTTTCCTGCGCAGTCATCCATTGTACGACTCGGCATCCTTTTGCTACTATTCGACGTTTACTTGACATGGGCGCGCATTGAGAAGCAGACGGTGCCCATCTCTGCCCGGGGCGAGGGTGCCAACCTGGGCAGCTTGGCACAGCAGTCTATTGTATCCCAATACTTCTTCTTCCGTACGTATAATGCGAGACCTAGGGGCGTGCCTCAGATGAAGAACTAAAGCTCCGACAGTAATCCTTTGCGCTTTGTCGACATTTGCCTTCCACATGAGCATTCGCTTCCTTACTTCGTCCAAGTTCTCTCCGCTGAACTTTTTTAATATCTTGCCCCGATATTCGCGTCCGAATTCCGTCTCGACCGCACTCCTTGTCTCGTCCTCGACCAAGCTATTCCCGATCCTCATGGTCATTTGGCAGTACGATGTCCCAGCTGCCGCTCGATCGTTGGGGTGGGCCGTCGTAGCAAACAACGTCGAGGCCCTTCGTATTTTGCTGGACTGCGGCTACGGAGTTGCCACCTTGCTCGCCACGCTGGGAGCTCTTGCCCGGTGGACGGTGGGACGCAGTGTCCTCTGGGCTGCCGGCCTAGATGGTGTTGATTCCATCGGAGAAACGAGCATTGCCGCAGATGGTAAAGCACTCTGGGCTCTTCTGATGTACGTGAGGGAATGGGCAAGTGATCTAGCCGCAGGATAACAGGCAGTATATAGATGCCAGACTCAAATAAACGAGATGAATGTGTAATATGTACCGCTCGGCGTTGCGTGAATTGATGTTGTATAACTAGCCGTCTTGCCATCTCGGGTGCAAACTCAGTCCGGCCACAATCCTTATCACTAGCGGACTGGCATCATCTGTCGGTATCTTGAGCTACCCTTTGGGTGTGAGGCGGCACTCTTCAACAGCCAGTCACGCGCCGTTCTATGACAGAACCCTATCAAGCCCCTTAAACGCCGTCCTTATGAAGTTGTAGTTGTGTGAAATCGATAATAGTACATCGCCCCCCATCGCGTTGCATCTCTTCCCCCGCCCTTCCACCATCACCTCGAACGAGTCGTTAATGGTGCACGGCACTCTCTCGGAGGTTGCTACGTTTGGGTTCGATCAAGGGGTGGAGCTGGGCGAGGAACGTGATGGCCCACATGAGATAGCAGCATGCGAGGGCGAGGAGGAGGGAGGATCTCCAGATGCTGTAGATGATGGTCAGCCATGTGTTCTGTCGCAATGACGAAAACGATGAGAGTTCTTCGATTGCGGAGATAGTTCGCTTTCGAGTGATAGAAACACATACATTTGGGTGTCGCCCTTGGGAGACAGGAACCATGCGCCAGCGCCCATCGCGACGACGATGACGAGGCCGACGAAGATGCTGTACCTGTTGTTTCTCGTGTCAATACATCGGTCGTCGGAGTATGCTTTCGGTGAGGAGGGTGAACGAACCCTTGCGCCATTTTTGCTGCTCGATTTGGAATACGGTGTGGTATGGGGGTGTGTACAGGTATGTTGGGTTTCGCGTTGATGTCGTCGTGCTACTTCGTCGATTGCTTCTGTCGTCGTCGGGAAGGCTGAGCTAGGTAGGAGGTCCTGGACGTCAGTTGTGGGAGCAGCTGTCGGTGCAGAGCACCAGCCGGCAGCTCGACGGTTGATGGTGCTTAGTCATCCATGTTGTTCCCGCCTCTGTGAACTGATCTGTCATGCCAGGGCAAAGTACCCATCTAAGTATCTTTTTGTTCAACACTCAAGTCACTAACAGTAGATCCTCTCGAGGTTTAGCTGCAATGTGGCAATCATCTAGAGGCATGCAACTAAGTCAAAATCAATATTCTCATTTCGTTCCTAGTTTCATTTCATGCTGCATGTATTTATAATCTCATGAGCTTTGAGCTATGTTCCGAGCATTGGGATCTCATGCTCAAGAGTCATTCTCGTACTTGAGCCCAGCTTCCTTTCTTACAGCACCGTAGATGCCAGCCATATCACCTGACGGCCCTACGTGCTCCTTGACAATCTGCAAATGCCTATCGGCGTTTTCGGTATTCTGCAGTCTTGTGCCTGCGGCTTTGGCAATAGCCATCGCGTGCCCGGCGTCTTTCCTCGCCAAATCAACAGCGAAAAGCGGTTCCTCCCTCTTGTAATAGTCGCCTTCCAACATCCGCATCGAGTACGCAGGGTAAGGGCTGCCACCAAACATGGCATCAACAAACTGCTTCATATAGCCGGTTCCGAGCCCACTCTTCTCGGCAGCCACATAAGTCTCGGCGAGCTGCTCGACCATGCCCAAGATGACGGTGTTGCCCAGCACCTTCAACGTCGACGCCTTGTGGTACGGCTCATCGGCCATGTTGATCTCACGAGCCGCCATGGCATCGATATAAGGCCGGATCTTCTCGATCGAGGCTTTTGGCCCGGCAAGAACCAAGGTCGCGTTGCCGGCAGCCACCATGGCAGGCGCTCCGAACACGGGCGCGCAGATGAACTCGGCGCCCTTGTCCAGCACCGCCTTCGCGGCCGCCTCTGAGGCGCCGGGAGCAATGGTTGAGCACTCCACAAAGACCTTGCCCTCGAGTTTCTGCTGGGCTGCGGTTGCGAAGATCTCCTCCACTGCCTGGTCGTTGGCGACACACGTAAAGATGATGTCGGCCTGCGCGATAGCTTCCCCGAGCGACTCGACGACCTGCGTCTTGCCGGCGGGCAGGCTCTGGCTCAGTTCTGTGGCTCGCTTGGTGGTGCGGTTGTAGATGAGGAGCGGCTTGTCAAGTTTGGACTTTTCCGCAATGTTTTTACACATACCCTGAGTGCTAAGGTAAGCTTGCATGTCTTGATCGAAACAGGGTCTTTAACTCGGAAATTGGGAAACACTCACTCTGCCGATGTTGCCGAGGCCGATCCAAAGAAGTATCTGAGCCATTGTGAAGTGTGTTTCGGAAGATGATGACTAGTAGTAGATGAGGTTCGGAGAGAAGAAAGGTGATGATGCAGATCAAAGCCAGGTACAAGCAATTAGGAGATGAATGTGCCTGTTTTGAGAATGAGACTCAAGAGAAGCTTAATGAAGTTGGTGACATGTTAGCGGCGGCTTGACCATGCCGAAATGCCCCTCAGGGCCTCTGTCAGTTGAGTTTGAAGGGCGAGGTGACGACAACGGCTTTGCCCGAGCGGGGTTGCTTCGGTTCATCATAGAGACCACAGCGGCACTTTGATCGGTAACTTGGAACAAACAATGGCAGGGGCTAAGAGCTTGACTAGCATAGTGAATAGATATGGAGTACTCGGAGGTTAATAGAACGGGAATGCATCGGTAACTAAAGTAGGTTACAATACCTAAGTAAGTAGTGTCAACGGCACCTTAATAACAGTTGAAGACAAGTGATCAACCAACGGGTTTACAACTTTGCTCCACTGCATAGCTTGCTTTACAACTTTAGATACCTATGCATGATCCCTTTTCCACGCCAACGGAGCTCAGACGTCGGGAGCGTACCTGACGCGGAGTCGAGCAAGGTAACCCAGCTGATTAGTGTGTATCTACGGCTGTTCCCGCCCTGGCAGTTGTGCCTTGAGTTGCCAAGCAGGGAGATTCTTACTAGATTATCTGTACCTTTCTTGGTCGGCGGCAGTTGGTGTAAGTCATGCGAAGCAGCCACTGCTGAGGTCTTTTTTTGCCCCTCGTCACATGCTGAGCCAATTTTTCAACGTGCATGCAATTACATTAGGAGTGCGTGGAAGTAGATGAACCACGCCAACTGTTGAGGTTTTTTTCTTCGATTGGTGATTTGTCTTCTCTTACCTCGTCTTCTTGTCCGACAGCTCGCCTCGGTGCTACGGTAATACTTAACGGTCGCCGATGGCGGTCCGCATGATGGAGACGTATCTGATCTTATCGTCTTATCAGTACGCCCTTTGGTAGGTCACCTTGACTCACAAAGTGGGAATTTCTTGGTCGGGGGAACAGGGCGGGTTGCAGTTCGTGCTCTCTGCCGGCCTAAGCCAAGGTCCCTTTCCCTTCGTCACCGACTCTTAAACTCTCTCCGACTTTGACATTCCAACTTCACTCTTACGGGGGCGATTCAGTGCTCAGACGGATTCCAAAACGACCTGACAGTCATTTGCATGGTTGTCTGAAGGGATGGATTTGCTTTGACCTTTCCCCCTCTCACGACGGTGCCACGCTGCCTCTAATCGGCTGGAGACTTGGGCCACAGAGTCTAGCTTCTTTTGACACCTTCACTTATCTCAAAACTATTCCCTTTCTTGCTTATACTCTTTGCGAAGGAACAACAGGATTGTGTTCATCCGGACTCATTTTCAAATATCAGACCGCATCACCTTCTATTCGGTCTTCATATTACCACTGTAGGCCAACGAAGCACATCTCCGGCATGCCCTACATTTCTCGTCGTTATCGGTAAGATGCGGTCTCCAGCGTTGAAGCAAGCAAGCAACCTAGTTGCCAGGGTATGCGTTTGAACCCCCAAATCCAACACGGCTTGAAGTCGTTGTGTCTAGGCCTTACAAAGTTGATATTAGGCACCGTTTGCTCTCGACTCTTGCAGTCCGCCCAATTGTAGACTTTATCACCGCCCACGGTTAGGAGGCACGCGCCAAGAAGAGGCCTTGCAAAGTGCCCTCTCAGCAGTCCGCCACTCATCCAGCAATCAAGCTCGTGAGAGGCAACGAGCAGAGGACAGGGTACTTATTGAATGGCCGCCTTGATTATTCTTTCAATAGCTGACATGAGCTACAGGACTTCATTGTGTCCGTCTTAGAAGCCTCGGCTACCCGTCGTGATGCCAAAGGCTACCTTCAGAAATACGCCCCTCAGTCCGGCGAGGACGGTTCCAGGAAGCGCAAGGTCTCCAAGTCGCAAGAGGGGCCTGATCAAATCTATTCGTCCGTTAGAGTAATCAATCAGGCGCCGAAATTCATTCAAGGCACTGAGTTCAAGGCCGAAACCGCCATTCCTGAAGGCGAACCCATTAACTTGGCAATTGTCAAGATACGCCTTCCCCAGGATGTCGACGACGAAATGCTTAGTGCAATGGCCAAAACCCTGACCCAACTTAGGAAGCTAGGTCTCGTTAGCCTTATTGTCCTCGATGGAGGACAAGTGTCGTCTCGAAAGCTTCTCCGGGAGCAGTCATGGAGAGTCCAGCAAGCCATTGAAGCGTTTGGCGAGCCGGGTAGCATCCTACTCGACCAGTGTATTGCGGAGGCTGAGTCGCAGACCGCGCAAACAAAGGGATTCATGCCATCCGGCGTTTATGTTCAGCACCCGCACCTTCTGCTGCGAGCTCTGCGAGACAATGCGATTGTTGTTGTTCCTCCAGTCACCTTGGCACACAACATGAAGAGCATCGACGTGGTGGATGCTGACGAAACCATCATCGCGCTCACCAAATTCTTTTGTGGGCTTCAGTTCAACGCCTCTGAAAGCCCCGTTGGGGCGCCTGACTCCAGTCTCAGCCCTGGCGCCAAGGTTGCCTCGGTCGAGAAAGTCATCATCCTAGACCCAGCTGGAGGCACACCTCTGTCTGATGCACACGATGATTCGTGTCATCGATACATCAATTTGGACCAAGAATTTGAGGGCATCATGTATGGCCTCACACACCCGACAGGGTCAGAAGCACGACGAGGTAAATACCCCGAGAGTGTGCGGCAGCTCCACGCTCGGAACCTCGACCTGTCAAAGAAGGTGCTTGCGATGTTACCCTCGACTTCTTCTGCCATAATCAGCACCCCATCTGCTGCAGCAAACAAGCCGATTCAGCAGTTTACAAGCGTCACGACACGTAACCGGCAAAATCCTTTGATCCACAACCTACTGACGGATAAACCCGTCTTTTCGTCATCACTACCGCTCGACCGGGTCCGCTCTGGGAAAAAGGGCGTCATGGCATCTGGCGAGACCCATGTGGCAACTTTGGTCAAGCGCGGCATGCCGCTTACAGTGTATCCCGATCCCACGATCAGTGCTTGGGTGCCGCCTCGGCCAGGCGGTCCGCGCTTGAGACTTACAGACACCTGCATAGATATGCCACGGCTGGTCAATCTCATCAACGACTCTTTCAACCGGGAATTGGACGTTGAGCACTACCTAGAGCGCGTCAACGAGAACCTGGCCGGCATCATCATTGCAGGAGAGTACGAGGGTGGAGCAATTCTAACCTGGGAGAAGCCTTTCGGACTGGATGAGGAGACTGCGTACAAGACTGGTCGACTGGTTCCGTACTTGGATAAGTTTGCGGTTCTCAAAAGCCGACAAGGAAGTGGTGGAGTTGCAGATGTGGTTTTCAACGCCATGGTCAGAGGCTGCTTCCCAGAAGGCGTCTGCTGGCGCAGCCGACAGGACAACCCCGTCAATAAGTGGTATTTCGAGAGATCCTTGGGCACATGGAAACTTAAGGATACTAACTGGACCATGTTCTGGACAACGCCACACCTCCCGCTGAGCGATCCAAAGCTGCTGGATTATGAGAATGTTTGTCGTTATATTGAACCATCATGGGCAGATACAAAACCGCCCGACTAAGACACAAGGGGGTGGCTCTGAGAAACAGCTTCACGTGGCAGCATCAAGATTGGAGGGGGGCTCAATAGAAGGCAAAATGCAATCAAAGGAAACAAAAAGCGAGATCAACTTTGATTGTGTGCTTGTTACAAATGAGCTGTCTTAGCTGGGCCATCGTGAATCTCTAGACATCATCATCTTGCATATGGGACTATATTCCCTTACCTTAGATATGAAATTACGATCAAGGAAGGATGCATGTAAGGTCTGTAGTTCCACCTAAGACCAGGAACTCAACCAGAACCTACATGACGAACTACTCCTCGGCATTTCTACGCAAGGGATGCATCCACCAGCTGTGAGGAGGCAATGCCATCTAAAGCTGTCAGGGACGCAGGTAGTACGTACCGAAGAAAGTCCCATAAGTCACGTGCGCTAGTGTGCACCCATTCCCTGCTTGACTGATCCACATGGCCAGCTGCCCCTGGGTAGCTTGTGACAGCATGCTGGAGGTTGCTGTGCAGCCAATTTAACATACTGGATACCTGTCTATCTTGCTTCAGGTCGCAGGCAGGCACGAAGGCAGAACTCCCGCATCTACAACCCACCTCAACCCGTTCAACAGGCATTTATCGTCAGTGCCGACTTTCCCGCAGCGACCGAGTCGCTTTCTTTTTTCCACCCTACTTTGTCACATCAAACTACCGCCAAGATGGATTTCAAGAATCTCGGCAAAAGCTTCACGTGCGTTGTCGCATGCCCTTCATGTCAGCGGTCGCGAGTGCTGTATCCAGGCTGACGAAATCCCATTAATGCAGCTCCTTTGGGTCCTCAATCACCCCTTTCGCTTCCCGTACCTTCCAGTACACCAAGGAGCAGCTTGGCCAGGCCGAGGACAAGGTACGTTTGTTTCTTTGCGCCGACCTAATCAGTTGCTTAATGAAGCAAGAGCTAATCTCCTTGTCTCCCACAGACCCAGCTCCCTCCCGACTACATTGATCTCGAGAAGCGCGTCGATGCCCTCAAGCAGGTGCATCAGAAGATGCTGGCCGTGACGTGAGTTGTTGGCAGAGATGCCCCGCGAGTCGAAAATCGACCACTAACACCACTGACTGAAGCTCGCAATACTCGAACGAGGCCTACGACTACCCGCCCAACATCAAGGAGACCTTCCAGGATCTCGGTCGCACCGTCAGCGAGAAGGTCACTCTCCTTTCGTCCGCTGGCTCCCCGGCCGAGGCCCAGGCAGCCCTGACCGCTCCCCCTTCGGCGAAGCCCCAGCCCAAGACCTTCAACCATGCCATTGCCAGAGCCAGTCTGTCAAGCAGCCAGGTGCTTCACCAGCAGCATACCGGAACCGGCGAGGATCCTTTGGCTACGGCTCTCGAGAAGTATGCCTTGGCTATGGAGCGAGTCGGCGAGTCCCGCATGGCCCAGGATGCCCAGATCCAGAGCCGCTTCCTTGCCGGCTGGAACACCACCTTGAACACCAACCTCAAGTTCGCTACCCGCGCCCGCCAGAACGTCGAGAAGTCCCGCTTGACTCTCGATGCTGCCAAGGCCCGCGCTCACGGCACCACCTGGAAGATGGGCCCCGGTGCCACTCCCAACGAGGGCCAGCCTCCGGAGCTGAGCCCTGAGGCCCAGGAGGAGATTGAGAAGGCCGAGGACGACTTTGTCACGCAAACTGAGGAGGCCGTTGGTGTCATGAAGAATGTTCGTAGACCTAAACTTTTCCCAGCATGACAACGGCGATCGCTAACTCTCTTGACAGGTTCTTGATACCCCTGAGCCCCTTCGCAACCTTGCCGACCTGATTGCTGCTCAGATCGAGTACCACAAGAAGGCCTACGAGATCTTGAGCGAGCTTGCCCCGGTTGTCGATGGCCTGCAGGTTGAGCAGGAGGTTAGTCGCGCCTCGAACTACGAAGTATAACGAAGACCGATCCGTGCTGACGCCCTTTCGCTGCAGGCCAGCTACCGCAAGAGCCGTGAGAACGCCTCTTAAGCGGCTGGAAGTGAGCGCCTCTTTTCTTGATCGCCACTGCCTCTGCAGTGCTACCAGCTTCATCATACTTAGATTTGGTTGACGTCTGCCGAGCAGTCAGCATCCTACGGTTTGGTGTACCTGGGGGTCGGGGAAAACCCGATTGCTATTGTTGCAGCCGCCATGGCTGAGGCCTAGTGTGTTGCGCCCCATGTATCGTTGAGAGACGGCTTGTTTCTATTTCAGCCATGTGTGGCTTTAGGGACTACTTCGATTCGTTATCGACGTCTGAAACTCTCATACCAGGGTGTGAGAGTGTCCTGATCGCGTCCGTCCAAGGTTGATTTTACGACTTCTGAATATAGAGTTGTTTTCACGTTTGACGAACTCCGAACGACTACCAGCAGTTGTGACTGGTAGGACGACTTGGCATTAAGTTCAGATAGCTTGTCCATTTCCTCAATCCGGTATTAGCCTGCATGCCTACCTATCTGTACTTCTGCGTGAAAAGAGTCTGTTCATTGGCTATTCTATCAGTAGTGCATCACCAGTGGAGCGTCATGTCAACAGTGATCTTTGACCTAAAGAGTGCTTTCAAGTACGGCACTCAAAGTCCCAAGTAAGACGTAGAATGCAGCTGAGATCCTTGAGACCGTCAAGTACATGCACTCGATTGAAATAAATAACATCTGAAAGCGACACAGAATTGCTTGCGCTTCCGAGGGTGTCTAAGTGACAGAGTGGGAATCACGTGACTCGAAAGTGCTGACTTATGTAAGGAAATCTACTGGTCAATGAAATCCAAGCGACACTGCATCCCCCAGAATAGCTGGCCGACCTTGCGCTCCATAGCTCAATTCACCGAACACCCGCGATCTCCAATTCGAGCCAATTGATATCGCAACCATGCGGAGAACACTTCGCCTCCTCGCTGGCGTCAAGCCTGCTCGCTACCTTGAAGCCGGCACCCCGACGGGCCTCACCGGCCTCTGGACGCACAATAGCCCGCGGTCGACACTGCTCTACCTGTACGGCACCACCCTCGAGAAGCTTCAGACGGTCCCCGAGTCCTCTCTCTACCGCCAATCGGTCGAAGCCATCACGAAGCACCGCCTCGGCCTCGTCGAAGCGACGGTACCGCCGGGCTACCCTGAGTGGGAGAAGCGTGCCGAGGCGATTGTCAAGGAGAAGCCCGAACAGTTCCGCCTCGTCAGCGGCCGCGTCGACGGCAGCGGCGCGCGGACGGTGAAGCTCGGCGGCCGGACGTTTGTCGTCGCGACGCAGCACGAGGAGGGCGACGTCCGCCTCGAGGAGTGGGACGGCGAGAAGGACGAGGGCGGAACCCTGGAGGGCCCGCGTACCGAGGCCGAGCGAAAGGATCACCAGCTTCTTGCTGACCGCAAGGACCTGAACGATATTGCCAAGGTGCAGTGGGAGGCGGAGCCGCAATTGACAGCCGATCAGTACGTTTTGTTCTTTTCCCCGGGGCAGGGCCACAATTTGAGATGGTTTTGCTGGCAAGGGGGTAGGGGGACTTATACTGACGTGCGGTTTCTGTAGGGTTTCTGAGTTGGAGACCAAGATCGGAGCTGGCCTCATTGAGGAGGTCATTCAGGTTGCCGAGAGCGAGCTGAAGCTCGTGGATGTGATGACACAGGCCAAGGTGTACGTTGTTCTGCCTTTCCAATCCCTTTACCCCTCGACCTTTGCTAACTGACAATGATCAGGTGGGAGGACCTTGAGGAGAAGCCTGTTGAGGGCCAGTGGACCTACTTTGAGCGCAAGTCCTCGTAAGCGGATGCTTTCTTGCTGCAGAAGACACTTGCCAATTCTAGATAATGTACATTAGGCGACTGTGATGACCAAAGATACATCGAGATGTTGCTTTTTTCCCCCATGTGGGTTGTTGTGCAGACAAAGGCAGCTGTCGTGAGAGTGTCTTTTCCACGTGTTCCCTGGCTACGAGGTTCATTACGAGGAGTTGATAACATCATGAACTTTGTCGGCTATTGAGTCTCGAGACGGGAATAATGGGCTGGTTGAGACGTTACTCGCCTTATTCAACACCGGACAAAGCCTGCGGTTGAAGCAGGACTTGACTATATCAACAGGGACTGGAATCCGTATGGGATCATCGCGATGGCACTTCTATAGACGGATTTGGATCTATAGGAAGAGTCCGGGCTGGATTATAGGTATTGGAGCGACGCCTCTCGAACTTGGACTGAGGCCAATAACGGATGGATCAAAGACATGGCTGCCTTTGATCCCTATTTAAACGTCTAGGCATAGGTAGATATTTGAACTGAATGTAAACAAAAAAGAAGTCATGAATACTGGTGCGAAATGATTTGAAGCAACTTGATGAAACTTCGGCGTCCGTCACTTGATAATTGGCACCCTTCCGGTAGACAAGGTATAAAAGAAGCCAGCAGCCCCACTTCACTCTTGACCGAATTCTCACCACAGACTCATCTTACTTACACCATTACCTCGACCTCACTCAAGTCTGCCAACACAGATGAAACCTCAATAACAATACCAAAATAATCCATAAGACATACGACACCAATTAATTCAACCGTATCATCAAAATCCTCATCATATGTGCGCGCACACGCGGCGGCAGCAACCATGAGCCAGCCGACCACCAGCCGCAAGAGGTCCGCCTCAGCCATGTCAATGAGCGACGGCAACGAGTACAGATACCAATCCCAGCTCCCCAGCGACTCCATCAACCCGCTCAGCCATACCCCTTCCATCCTCCGCCAGCTGAATCTCGCCGGCCTCGCAGAGACGGACGAGCTGCCCTCGACAACGCAGCACAGATTTCCGCACCGCCACTGGCAAGACCCCGATGCGCCGCCGGCCCGGCTGGGACGGTCCGCCGCGTCAAAAGCACTCGAGACGAGCGAGGTAGAAGAAGAAGAAGAAGAGAGAAACGACGACGACGATGACAATCTAGAAGACGAAGAAGGCAAAAGGCGCCGCCGGAAGAAAAAAGACGGCGGTGGCATCCCAAAAGCAAAATACGCCTCTGAAAAATCTCCCTTCCGTCCCCTCGTCCGTGCAATCTACAACTTCCTCGACACCGGCGACATCTCCAACGCCAAACGCGCGTTCGGAATCCTCGCGCGCTCCACCGTCCACGGGAAACCCGTCGACGTCCGGCGAAACAACTACTGGGCCCTCGGCGCCGAGATCCTCATGCGCGAGGGCGGCAGCGCCCGCGCCACGGCGGCAGACGACGAGGCGTACCCGTTCGCCAACGCACCCGTCGTGCGCGAGTACTTTCGGGATCTGATCCAGCGGTTTCCGTATAACTTTAAGCACCGCCGCGCAGTGTGTGCCGTGGACTTTTGGCCTGCGTTGTTGAGTTATGAGGTGTTTCAGGTGCATGCGCAGCATGCGGCCTCGTTGAGGCGGATGAATCGCGAGGCGGAGGATTGGGAAGATGAGTCGTGGCAGGAGCCTTCTTCGCTGCTTGGCGGCGGCGGCAATGACAGCATGATGGACGGCACGGGTTACCATGCCCGGCCTGGGCAGGTCTACGGACGGGACATGCGGCTGCGGCAGGCGAGGGACCAGATCCGGCTCAAGACGCTCGACCTGCTGCGCGAGGTGGCGGGCCGCATGAACGACCTTCTCGAGGACCGGCCGTTTTCGCACAGCGCCGAGCTGTGGCGGGTACGCGGGATGGTGTCGCTGTATATCGGCGACCTGCTCATCCCGGCGTACACGCATGACGACGACGACGAAGGGGCCCAGCAGATGGCGGAGGCGAGGGTGCGGCGCGAGGCGGAGAGGAATAATGCGCGGAGCAGCTTTCAGAAGATGGTGGAGCACGGCGGGAAACTTGATGCTTTGATTCAGAGGCTGATGGCGCCCGTTGAGGAGGACGAGGGGCCTGTGTTGCCCGTCTTTTCGTCACTTGCGTTCAGAGAGTATCGTACAGCTAGCTAGAAGCGCTGGCCGATATTATTCTGATCCGAAAAAACCAAGATAGTCGAGAGTATCAAAGATTGGTACGATTCGAGGGACTACTCTAAAGGTACCCGGCATTGCCCTTCACCGCCCCCTCCCTGCCGATTCACTCACGCATCCTTCTTGGGTACCCATCTCTGGAAGACCAGAGCAAAGTTGGAGCTACCCACGACGACGCACCATTCACCTCCAGGACTCCAAGCGACCTGTCTGCCCACGAACGTCGATGCGCCGCAATTCTCAATCTTGTGGGGCTTCAGAGGAACCTGAGGATTGCCGACGGTAAACTTGCCATCCCACGTCTGCAGCGTCTCCTGGTTGTACTGGGCCCTCAGCTCGGGAATCTGCTCGAGCTCCGTCCGGTGAGCCTTGTCGGCCGCTTTCTTCTCTCGGACCGTCGGCGCCGCCTTGCCGTTCGTGTTGGCCCGATGGGTGATGGCTGGCAGCCAACTGGGTTTCGGAATGGCCTCCTCCCCGCCCCTCCTAGGTTTCTTGACGGCATTGATGTAATCGTGGAAGCCTGTAATCTGCTCAAAGTCCCAAAAGTAGATTTTACCGTTGGCGTTGCAGAAGGCCAGGATGGGGTGCTGGTCAGGAACGAAGTGCAGCTTGAACCGCATGAAGAACTGCGGGCCGCAACCGAGCGTCTGGAACTCGATGAGCCGCGTGTAGGGAGCTGGACATTCTGCCGACACGCCCGGGCTAAAGGCAGAACGGGTAAGATTGGCCGGGTTGATGGTAGTTGGAGCCATGGATTGTGGAGGGGGCGGATCTTGGGAGGAGAAGCCTTCAATCTTCCACAAGACAATCACATCGTCGTGGCAGGCTCGAGAAAGGATGTAGTCGCCATAGAAGGATACACTGAGAGACGTTAGTAGCGTGTAATATGCAGCTTTTCAAGCAACGACTGACCAATCTACGAGACTGCTGTGAACCTCTGATGTTGAAAAGTGAGGATAGTGAACCTCCACTGGGCGTTCGGTGTGCTCAGTTGGAAGGTCTGGCACGGTCCACTGTTTATTCGGTCTGTTAACAATGAAACTTGGGCGTGACACCATGGGGATATTGCCTACGAGGTTGATTATTTGATCATGGCCAGCGGAAAGAATGTATCGGCCCGTGTCGTGCCACGCCTATGAAAGAATCAGCATCAGGGTTGCGTCCGGGGAGCGGCAATCGAGCTAAACCTACCAATGTCAGCAAGTTCCAGTAATGACCTTCGCCTCCAAGAATGCATAAGCAGGGCTGCTTCTCGTGTTTGGGATCTAGGCTCCATATCCGGACTGTCGTATCATCGGAACACGAGGCAATAATTAGGGGGTCTATGGGAGACGTGACCACGTCACAAACATCCTGAGGGTTCATCAATAAGAGCCTCAAATATGTGATATCCTCCCGACATGACTCACCCCGCCGTGGCCTACGAGACACTAAGTGAGATGTGAGAAAAACTCCTGCGGGACTACTTGGGCTTGTCTCGACTCACATTGACGAGCTTCTGCTCAATGATGTCGTAAACTTTGATCTTGGCGTCTTCGCCGCCGTAGCACAATAGCGGTCTGCCGGTCTCCGCGTCTCTTGTCCAAGTGCAGGAGTAATTTCTTGCCTCAGTCTTTATTCGAGTCAGTGGCCGAGGCTGCTGTGGGTAATTTGGCTACTGGGGAGAACGCACATCATCATCCCGAATTATGCTAATAATCTCGCATGGATTCGAGTCATCGGCAGCTGCCGTGAGGCGGCAGACTATTATCTGAGAAAGAGGTTAGGACGCAAAGATAACTCCCTCAGTAACCCGTAAGCGCAACGTACATGTTTCTTGCTGACGGCGGCGAAGACAGGTCTCGCGTCCAATGGCTGATAGGGGCAGAATTTGACATCAAAGAACTCTGAGAGGAGATTAGCCAAGGTTGAAGGAAGTGCTTCGAGTTGATGTTGGGGCGGGGCTTACCAGGCACTGGGTCATCCTGGGCGAGGAATCTGGTGTCATCCTATGGTCCATGTCAGAAGGCTATGTTGAACGTGAAAAAGATGGAATTCCAAAGGTAGGTATTGCAGCCGGGCAACTCTCATGGCAATTCATAGATGCACAGGTAGTAGAGAACAGGTAGGCATAGACTAAGAGCAATAAGGGGTCCTCGGCCCCAGTTTGACTAGCTCAGAGGAAGGGGGAGCAAGTACCTCGAGATGAACCGAGACTCTCAGTCTCGGAAAGTCATACGGAGTTGGTGTTGAGGTGGGGGCCATGACAAAATTGAGTGTCAATAGAGGTAGGATCGTAGGACGCGTCAAAAGCGACCCCGGTCTGAGGTTCAAAGAAAGCCAACCAACTCGTTTATGCGGCAGTGCTCTTGCGAATAGTCTCGTCCGTAAAAGTGCAACTGTGAACGGGGATATGAGACAAGGAGGGAGCCGGCAAGACGCGTCGAAATGCAGTTGATACGGCTTTGTGTGTACGGGCGTGTGCTTTGTGCAAGGACTCGTGTTAGTGTAGCTGATCCCGTCCCTGGGCCTCAACTTCCCGTCAAGTCGGAGTGGATGCGTTACGGGTAAGGAAGGCGAGGTAGGGTAATGTAAGTAGAGAGAATTGAGAAAGAGCCAGGCAACGCCGCAACGCTATGCAGCGGAAGTGGTAGATGGCAACAGAGAGAACTAAGAGTAGCGCGTGTGGTGAACTACACAGTGGTAGGCAATGCAAGGTACCTTACCTTACCTTACTCCGTACGGAGTACCTCAGGTATTAAACCTGGTAATGGAATGAAATGAGTCGGTGGGGCGTGCGGTTTCTCACTTGTTCTCGCCGAATGTGGACGTGAAAAGAGGAAACTTTGGAAATGCAACACCTCACGCAATCACGCACTCGTCAATTAGGAACTTTCCGCTTTGGTGGGCCATGGTTGACGGGCCCGGGACCTCGAAGAGTCAAGGCCGGCGGGGGTCACTCATCTACCTTACTGACAACTACAGTGCCCGAATCAGTGGAGGAAGGGGCCGGTTGGGGTCGAAACGCCTGTAACGGTGCGCTAGCCCTTAAACAGCACGGGCGAGCATCAGCAATGGAACGTGGAACCGTTCCCAACTCCATCACGGCCACCTCTTGGATTCAAGCGGTAGTGCTCGCCAGATTATCTCTTGAACTTCGTCTCTTCATCCAGAGCGAGAGAGTCCTCAGTGTCTTAGTGGGCATAACTTTGTTGAAGCTGGGACAACTACCTCATTGGGACGCTGGCGTATCCCCCCATCCACTAAGATACTAAGCAACCTTGTAGTATCGGTCATGCGTTTATTCAATTTCTCGGGGTATCAAGATATATTGTGCAGTCAGTGACTCGGTCCAGAGAATGGAGCCTAAGACAAGAAACTACAAGATACGTCAGTTCAATGTATGGACCAAGGTATGGAAGGTGGCACACGAGTGATGCCATGAGGCTTTTACTATTCGATAGCGTAGGTGCCATGAGCTTTGGAACTAAGGTATCCGTACCTTGGCTGGAAAGAGCAATAGCACCGGTTAGTTACGTTACGTTGGGTGCTTACACAGTAAGTAGTAGGGCACGAGGCGCGAGAAAACATTCAGAGAACTACCTTGCCAGGTTCAAAGAGACCTGTGATTTCCACTTTGGGCTTAAGGACAGGGAAGCAGGCGGCATCATTGAGACGCCGTCAAATGACAGGCCTTCCAAACCACAATACCTCCGTTATTTTGCGGCTTGCCATGTTTTGTTAGCAGACTCGGAAGCAATATGACACTCTGGGACGGAGATGGCTTCCTGAGGAGGGTGATTAGGAGGTGATTGATCGAGACAATGTCAAGCCTTTCTCGACATCGAAGGTCCAAAAGGAGCAACGGGATGTTGAGGAAAGATAGAGTGGGCCAGGGCTATTAGATCGGTCGATGACAAAGAGACGGGCCGCTCTTGTACCGGTTTGAAGTTCGAGTACCTGGAGTGAGGTGCAAAGTCTGGCAAACATACTTGTCTTACTGAGGCAACGGCACCTTGATGGAGGTATCCAACATAAAGTGAGTTCTCACCTGATACCTGAACAGGCTGTACCTACCTAAGGAACCCTGCCTTACCACCTTACCTACTTTACCTCGCCTTGCCTTAGGGTCCTCCTTTCCCCGGGGTGTGTGTCCTGCACGGTTCGTCCTCCGGGCCAATTCGATGTCAAATTGGTGCAGGGAAAGAGCGGATCTCCAGGGATAGTGGAGACTGGTGTGGCTGCACCGGCTCTTTTCCTGGCCCGCGGACACTACTACTCTACTACTCTGCCTTAGCACCTTACTACCTTCATCACCTCACAGACCAAGCTATCTTCAAACGTCGACAGCGGAATGGTTTCGCATAGAATCTGTACGAGTTTGAGACCTCTTGAGCTGACGCCAGACGGTCGATGCCGCGAGACATCAAGCCAGCGCTTAACATCACCCAGCATCAGAAAAGGGAACGCCCTGTGTTAGTCATGAGGTAACCCGGCGCGAAAAAGGCGTAGAAGCTGGCTGCTGCGGCAGCGTGTGGTATCCAAGTCTTTTGTGTTACTTGGAAACTCCTCTGACGATCCTCTCATCACAGGTTGATTCTCCGCGAAGATACTGTTCCTAGGTTCTATCTCTGCATCTCGTAATCATTGCGCACATAATAGCAGCACGACTTCACCACAGGCACAAATGAAAGCAATGGTTCCTCAATCGCATTCGCGAGACAAACAGGCACAGGGATTGGGGATACGTCAGCCAGCATCCAGGGATATGAGAAATGACCGCGGGTCGCCATCTTCAAAGGCCCTTGTCGCTTGCAAATTCCCATACCGCCCAATCGTCGAGTCTCGATGCCAACCATCCATCACCGCATTTCGATATCGAGCTTGCATCGCGATACCCTTCGCACCTCCAGAAATCCCATTATGCTCCGGCCTGTAGATATCACACGTCTAGTGCCTAGTGTACGGATACCTCCTTGTCTGTGAACCCCCCCTACAGTCGTGTCATGGCAGTTGGGGATCCGCAAACTTTTAATAAACCTGTCCCGTCGTGGGTCTTCGTCCGTGGGCCATGCTGGGTACGCCGCTGTGATGTCTCTCATGTCTGTCGCACAAACCATCCGCCGTCGACGACCTGGCACCGCGTTCTCGGCATCCTGTCTATATGCGGTTCACGTCACGAACGGACGTTGGGGGACCCTGCGAGATTCAAAGAGGCAGTCCACTTCTTCATCCGGTGAAGAAGAGGGGAACAAAATAAGTCTTGGGGCAAACAAGATGAAAGAGTCAGTCGACATATACATTGCATATACTTCCGAGAGGTACCTACCTACGCATTAGATGTCGGCAGCTAATTTCAAAATACTCCGCACAACTAGCGCGTACGGCTCGAGGGTTCAACGGTCAACAGCTTACCTTGACAATCAGTGGTCTTCAAATAAACTACTCCTCATCTGGCTCGAGCACGGCCAACACTGTCCGTCTTGCTTTCAAGTGTCTGTCAGAGTTACGTACGTCTAGCGCAAGGATGATTGTCTTGTTGACGATCTTGTCTGTTGAGAAATTCAGGGGCTTAGGCAAGCGGATATATCCGTACGTGACGACTGACGACACGAACCCTCTACATACGACTGGCAAGGCCTGTGTACGAATATACCCTCGGGTTTTCCGACGAGGAGGAAGTCGTGATAATTATGAGCAAGGACAGTCTGAAGACATGGGCCGGACAAGTTGTGGCTCTTGCACTCGTTCAGGGACCCTAGCAGTCGATCCCAACTGGTGAACCAGGTTCTGATGTCTTCACAGCTGTCAACTGAAGTCAGACATCAAGCTATGCCTAGCAGAGCATAGCGCCCACTCTGCCCGGACACTCAACCCACACGGACGCCATTTTAGCCTTTTGCACTCCCGTTGACACGGATGACGGGCGGCCTGACGAGGAGACAGCAAGCATCAGTGACGAGAGCTTGGGGAAAGAAACGGGCTCTGCTGCCCTGCAATCTCCATCGGCTGTCAGTTCGAATTGGGATAAAGGGCCGCGTTCTCGCAAGCTCTTCCCAAACGAGACAAGAACTGTCCGATCCCCCCTGCGAGATCCCCAGACCCCATGTCTGCTCTCGGTATCATGGACATGGGCATGGCAAAAGAAGTGGACAGCTCGACGCAGAAGCTCGCAGCTCGTTCGTCAACATGAGCTTGCTGTTGGTTTTGGATTTTCAAAATCGAATGATTGATGACGGAGGATTTTCTCTCATCTACGGCAGCTTGTTCTCGAATGCGTGCAATTCCGCGAGGCGAAAGGCTATGCATCAACCCGCAGCATCGCCAATGCCCGGTGAAAATGTCGGGACTGACGCGGTTCGAGGTTGATCTTGTTCGGATTTCGGCTCGAACACCAACCGTCCAAGATCCTGACTATCAAAGTACGGATATATGGCGCCAATTTTAACAACCAGCCCGACCCTCACTGCGCGAACCTATGCACACGCAGGTATCAGCGGCTATTGTCTATCATCCATGTTCACTATTCGACAGCTCGACATATCCAGATAGCGGTTATCCCATTGGCAGCTGTTGATAGACAGCCTGAGCAAATCTATCCGGATCCGTAGATGTCGATGCTCAATGCCGGGTGTTGTATCCGGACCATGTGGACAAGGATCTCTTGTTCCAGCTCTACAGTGTTTCCCAACGGTTTGTCTCAGCAATATCCAACCACCATTTGAATGGCACAAGTGAGTCTGTCTACAACGCGGCGTGGACGCTCGTCTCGGGTAGCTGGCAACTTGGCACGTTGTGCGGCAACGATGCCTGACCTTGTACGATGTTTTGTAGGTTGGTTAGCCGCTCCTCTAGGGACCAGGGTCAAGACTGGAGGCTGGAGCTCAGTATTGGAGGCACATCAGTCCCTCCGACGTCCCGGCCAGGCACCCGGCAGAGTGTGTAACATTTAATCAATGTTCATCGGGTCAGCGGTTGAGTATGGCCGGGTCTCTCCGAGCGGAGGACCATGGGACTAGTATCCCGGTTCGAGCGTTTACCGCTGCCTCATTTCATTTTGTCCTCCCCTTCCCTGAGAGAGCAGGCGTAGGAGGCTGGGCTATGATCATCGTTTGTATTATTTGTTGACACAGTATTGTTATGACCGTGGGCGGCTCGACAATCCAAACGCGGGCCAGGGAGGAGGATAAAAAAGAAAGAATAAAAAATGCGCCGGATATGAAAAAAAAAAAACAAGCATAGTTGCATTTTATTTTGCCCCGCTGTCAACGTCAATTGAATAAGCCCCCTTCCCCTCAATAACAAGCGTTGCAATCTCGGGGGCCTTCATCAGGAAGTGGCTGTATGGATATTCGTACGGATACAGAGTCAACTTGCAGACGATCGCCGATTCCTCAGAGAGCAGCACACGGATATCACACGCTACCTGTATCGTTGTCGAGGGATTGATGGACTCTATTCGTATAGCACAGGTGGGAACGAGACAGAGCAGTGCGGCACCGCGGGTAGTACGGACGTAGGTCAGCTAGCCGAACCGTTACTAGCTAAGTAGTCTTATTCCCTTATTTCCCATGGAGGTATGGATTGGCGAATTATATGGAGGACATAGCTCCAGCTGGGCTGCGTATGAGTTTGGAGAGAAAGCCACCCTCGACCCCCTGCCCCTGTCGTAACGCCCTTTTTATGAATATCCGTACGGATACACTACCTTGGTACGCAGTACTCTGTACGGAGTAGTGCAACTGCATCTGTCGCGTCGTGTTATCCAGAGAGTCTGTCACTCTGCGCAGGTAGGCACTAAGCATTCGTTCGTACTTTAGTCTTGAGGAACGGTGATACCCTGAAAGCATGGCCCTGGCGCGAGAGATGATCATGACCCAGGCAAGCCGCAAAGCATCCACCAGGATGGATGATGGATGATGGATGGCTATGGAGTCTGGCACGTCTGGGCGTGTTCTGTCGGTTGAAGCTGCCCCTGTGTATCCGTACCCGTACTCCGTAGCGGAGACCGGAGAGATACCTCGTCCAAGGTGTCCATCGGTCCTCTTTCAGTCTTGACTATCAAGTCTCATCTGTGTGTCCATATCCAGGTTCATACGATACTCTGTAGCGCGCGAGCATGCCTTACGCACCCGCATTTGCTCAGCAGGCGGGGGTACTCCGTACGAAGTATTAGCACTGGCAGACGAGAGACGACGGTCGAAAAGTCGACAGCCGTGTCCATGACCCTTGTGGTATCCATACACAGTAGTAGTAGAAGTCGAGGTGGACGGGTGGTATCCGTACTTCACAGTCACACCTGGTGCTGGCGTGCTGCAAGAAGATGGAGGGGGGTCTGGGCCCCGGGACCCTGTCTTGCTCAGCTGGGCCCTGTCAGTTCTCCTCACCAATCTTGCCCTATCCGCATCCGTTTTTGCGAAGCCGCTGGCTGACTGGGAAGAGAGGCGAGGGGCTCTCTGGCTGCCAATTCAGCTGCGTGGTGCGGTGCCGTGCGGTGCCGTCACAGAGCAGAGAGCAAAGCGAAGCAAAGCAAAGTAGAGGAGAAGCTCAGCGCAGAGCTGGACATTCCCCCCCTCCACTGCCGTCCCCCCCCCCTCCACCGCCGCCGCCGCAGCCTCTCTCAAATCACATTTGCCAAACCACTTGCTAGACGAGCTGTCATAAAAAGATGCTCGCCTCCTCCGCCATTCGCAACACATGGCACTCCTCCAAATCTCCTCCTTCTTCTTTTTCTCTCGGTCTCCTCTCCCTCAGCCATTACTACACTATTAGGTGTTTGTTCTCGCTGTGATTCTGGACCCAAACAAACTTGAACCAACGGCATCCCGCAATCAAATCAACCCGTCGTTTTCGCCACTAGCAGCTCGGCTCGTCCCAACTTATCTACATTTACCTTGCCTGCTTGCCTTAGTCTACCTCCCTACAAAGTACGCCTACGCAAGCTACCTACGGCTACGGTACGAATAATACCTAGGTTGCATATCCTCGCCTACCCTCGACGTATTTCTTCGAGATTTCGGCCAACCTTCGTTCAACGTCCGAGTGCATCCACTACGTCAGGTTATCTGTGTCTGCATGTACCTCAAACTCAGACTACCTTAACCTCAAGGGAACCGCAACGTTTACAACCCCCGCCAACGCCAAAGGAAAAACCACCACCACCAACACCACCACAAAACGGTCTTGTTCTGACCGGCTTGCGCCCTCTCCGCACTATCCATCAGCTTGGATATCCGACTACACCTCGACCTTCAGCCCCCGTTTCTCCTTCTGCAGCAAACCGCATCGAGCTCGCAACTGTCACTTGAACACCTCCAATCCGCCTTTTCTCACTGTGCATACCTGCTTGTGTACGACGCGACGCAATACCGTCCATACTCTGCACTCCCGCTACCCTGTGCCAGTCACATAAGTCGGATCCACCACTTTCACTGCCACGGCCACTCGATCGGTATAGCCCGTGAGAGTGAAACTGACAGCCTTCGCTTGCGAGGTGACAGCGCAATCTGTGTCCCACGCCCAGCAATCTCCGCATACTACAATCAACAGCATTTTGAGAAAACAACCACTGTGCTCAGTCCCGACTGGTCTCCCAGACGTATAACAGCTGCCGCTCAAGATAAGTCGAGCTTCTATTTGGCGCGGCCACCTGATACGACGCCTTGTGGTATTGAGGATCCACCAAGCTCTCCGCGGCTTTCAAGCATTCTCTTAAAGCCTACCCGCCATACTTCGCAGCCGATCAAGACTCCGGACGACGTGTGAGGAGACGGACGTAATTGCGATTCAATCGGACATATATCCCAGACCTTGTTTCAGCCACGAGCCAACTGTTTGCCATGGAGCAAACGTTCATGACCATTCATTCCACGGACCCCAGCGCTGCCATTTTATTCGTGTCCGACTCAGTCTACGACATACTGGGTTATACCCCTCAGGAAGTGCAGGGAAAATCATGCTTTGACTTCTTCCACCCCGACGAGGTACCCTTCGCTCGCTCTATCCATAGTCGCGGCGTCTTGCTGGACAAGGCAGCCGTGCTTCACTATGCTCGCATCATGGCACGCGATGGCCAATGGGTGAGCTGCGAATGCTGCTTCACTGTCGTTCACGATGTCTTGGTTGCCTGTACCAGTATTTATCGACGGGACGAAAAGAGTCACAGTAAGCGAGGACTCTGAGCATCACATTCAATTCATCTCATGCTAATGTCGCGACAGGACGAGCCGTTGATGCACCTCAGATCCGTCGATTGTTCTCGAGCTCCCCTCGGGATCCTCGTTACCACATGCTGGAGCATCTCTCACCCAAATTCAGAATGCCCCCCGTGGAACGCGAGCCCCGCGCAGCTCTCATCCTCAACAGATTCACACGCACCTTGACCGTCATGTTCGCGACCAATGCAGTCTCCTCGATTCTCGGCGTCAGGCCCGACCAGATCAAAGACAAGAGCTTCTATGAGTGCATACAGGAGAATTGCCTGCCGGATGCCATCCGTTGTTTGGAAAGTGCAAAGGCCAATGACTCGATTGCCTATCTAAGGTTCTGGTACAGAGATCCGCGTCGGCCTGAGGACTTTGACGATGAGGAGGAAGACGAAGAGCACAACAGCGGAAATTCTAGTGACTCTGACGGCGGGGGTGTCCAACTCGATGGTCGCATGGACATTGACGAGGATGACGGTCCCGCGATCAAACAAGAAGACCAAGGTCGCCCGGATATGTCAAATCACAGCTCTGCAAACCAAACAACGACCACGAACGCCTCTGGCTCGAGCAACCAAACACAGAACACTGCAGCTACCAGCGCCCCTTCAGTCGACGGATCGGCGGCCCAGGCATCGACGCCCGCGGAACCCATGCGTAACCGTCGACGGGAACCGCCTCAGGCTTTTGAGCTCGAAGCTGTCGTGTCATGCACCTCCGACGGTCTTGTCGTTGTCATTCGCAGAGCGCGCCCACCAATTCCGGCACCTCACCCACCGTTGGTCGTCCCAACCTACACCAACGGTCTCTTTGCGGCGCCTTGGGGTCACCATCCCATCCGGCCTCAAGTTCCGCAGGAATCGCTCTACAATTTCAGACCTCCTCTCATGCCTCAGTATATGCCTTTGCAAGACAACGTCATGGCTGCTGGGGGTCCACCTGTGGACCATCTCATGAGCTCCATCAGAGATGTTGCCGTTTTCGCATGGGCATTGGTGGGAATCAATGGCAATCTTTCGACATACACGCGAGGAATGCCACGCGGCGAGTCTATACCCGACGGGGGTCTGCCTATTTGGGATCCCAATGCAGCGAGTGCTTCTTTACATGGGCCGGAAAATCAGGCGGTTCATCGATGGACCCAGTACGACAAGGAAAAGACCTTTGGCCCGCCCTCATCGGCTTACCGACAGTCGTACAACCAAGGCATACCATCCGGATATAGCCATGTACCTCAGATGGGCAGCTACATCTACTCTCAGCCACCGCCGCCCACATGGCCCGGTCTACAGCCCGCCTACACGTCGGCGTTTGACACTTACTCGAGGAACAACAATCATCGAGAACAGCATCATCAGCATCACCAACCCCAGCTTCATTACGACTACCAGGCCCCTCGTCAGCAGCATCAACCACAGCCACAAGGTTTTGGTAACGATCAACGAGGAGCGCCGGAGAATCGGCCTTGGGGTGAAATACCCCCTCCGTACAACGGTCAAGTTCAAACCAATGGTCGTTCCAATGGGCATGGTGGCGGACATCCGAACGGACAGCCCAATGGCCAGCCCAACGGGCAGTCTAATGGGCAGGCTAACGGTCAGTCCAATGGACATTCCAACGGCAACGGACATGCCGATGGAAACTCCGGCAATGGTCCAAACGGATCGGCCGGACCAAATGATCCATCTCATGGCTACCGTTACCCATGGCAGTAGTTGGAACACTCGAATATGGGAGAGGGTAGTATGAGGCTGACCATCTCAGGAACTCAGGAGCGCCTTGGCGGACTCCATGCAAACAGAATGCGATCAAAAATTTTAAGGAAGGAAAGTAGGTAGAGGCTCTATCAATCCTCGAAGAAGTCGGTAGTGGTCGGTGACGACAAGGAAACAAAAGATTGCGGTGGTTTCCCCCTCTGGCAAAGAGGACATTGAAAAGGGGGTTGTGTGTGTACCAGGCATCGGCGTTCCGCGTTTTACTAGAAACGGACGGTAAAAATGAAAAGATACCCCGCGAGGAGCTCGCAAAGGAGGAGAAGCAGTTTTGTATATAGACGAGTTGGCAGCAGGGTCGCTTGCTGATGTGGAGTTTTTGGTATATTTATTCAAACTAGGTAATTCAGGGCAAAGCTATCCATCTTACTTACATTCGGATCCCATAGCGCGTGATCATGCGTGTGTATCTAGTTAATCACGATGTTGAATCTTCATGTGCACCTGTTCCAAGAGCTTCAACGGACCAGCTCCGTCACGGACAGGACGGGAATCCACATTGAAATCCGGGCCTGGGCCGCGGGAGGGTACAGCACGGAGTGGGGTCAGCACGTTACGCAGACGGGCCATCCCTGGGCCAGTTAGCGATGGCGTGGCATCAAGTGGATCGGGGATGCGGATCTCTTTTTTTCCGATTCAAGGGAGCTTGGACCACCCAATGCTTTCGCCCTGGAGGAAACCGTGGAGTCTTTGCCCAGGAGTCGCAAGCTGCTACGTACGTCAATTAGACCAGAAAGTCCCCCATCCCGTCCCGCGAACTTGAAGGTTGCAAAGCGATTTGCAGTTGAACCATAACGATTCCCCACGACCACATTTCGGATATACTTTCCCTATTGTCCGATACGAAAGGACGAAAGCAGCGACAAGTAGTGTTGTTTGTTGAACAATACGAGTTCCCGTTTCAGCCATGGCATCTACGAGCAAACGAGACGACTATGCCAACCCTCCCTTGCCTGACGACGACTTGATTGACCCTGATGATGGTAAGCTTTCTAAAGAGAACATACGGCATGGCTGGGCGATGGAAAGCTAACACTCCAATCTGCGATGTAGCTGATCTAGATGACTTCGACGACCCCCTCGGCAATACATCCTCACGCCAGCCACTGACAGGCAACATCGGCTCGAGCTCCTCCTCCTCGCGTCCGCTCAACGAGAATGCCTGGACGTCACGCATACCGGGTGAAGACCGCGCCGCGCCGCAAAACACAATCGACGAGTCCGTGTGGGACACGCTCCGCCGCGACCTCCTCGCCGTCTGGGCCAAGATGCGGGAGGTGCTATACCCCAAGTACCTGCTGGGCGGCACCATGTTCGACGCCGACGGCCTGCGGGGCGCTTACGCCAACATCCGCGGCGCCGGCATCTCGGGCGCGCGCGAGGAGCTTACGGGCCTGGCGAGCCGCTTCATGGACTCGGAGGCGCTGCTGTCGCAGAATAACATGACGCCCGGCCTGCGGGACTGGGATCTGTGGGGCCCGCTTATCTTCTGTCTGCTTTTGAGTCTCTTGCTCAGCTTCAATGCGAGGGCGGACCAGAAAGATGTCGTGTTCAGCGGTGTGTTTGCCATGATTTGGATTGGGGAGGCTGTGGTGACGTTGCAGATTAAGCTGTTGGGAGGAAGCATGTGAGTTTTTCCCCCCTTTGCGCGGTCTCTGCGGCCAAGAACCGTACGTGTATCAGCGAAATACTAACAGACCGCCGTAGCTCTTTTGCGCAAAGCGTCTGCATCATAGGATACACGCTCTTCCCCTTGGTGATTGCGGCACTGCTCTCTGCCTTTGGTATCCCGACCGTTGTCCGGGTGCCTGTGTATCTCGTCCTCGTCGCATGGTCTCTGGCGGCAGGCGTCAGCATTCTGGGCGGCAGCGGTGTGGTCAAGAACCGTGTCGGCATCGCCGTGTACCCCCTATTCGTCTTCTACCTCGGCCTGGGCTGCCTCTGCTTCATCAGCTGAGCTGCGACGACGAGGTCGCGAGTCGTAGCGGGAGAACGAGGTGTCTGGGCAGGTTGAGAGATGTACTGTATACGTGGCCTTGGCTGAGGACCTAAGGCGCACACTGTATTCTAGATATCCATGTTGTGCTACTCATCCTCGGGATGATGGCGGGCCAATGAATGAGAAATGGGCGTTTGATTTTCTGCTGTTAGTTTGGGCTGTCTAGGGACGTGAGTGTCCCGTCTAGCGATGACCCTGCGTGTGCGCCGCCGTACCCGACTTGTCCTTTGCCAAATGTATCTGGGAGGAGAAGTGGTTTCCCAACAGAACATGTCGTGTAGTGGGAATGGTTGTAGGTAAATCGGTCATTTCGACTACCATCTAGTTGTAAGACAACCCAGGTCAAGAACCAAGGCAAGGACGAACAATTTCTAGCTGCAAGCGGCGTCGGTAGTTGCCGCTAGAATGTCACCTGCGTTGCCCTTTTTGGACAGCCACACCACGGCAGGGCCATTCATCTGACACCTCAGACGAGCGGCCCTGAAGGACATCGGAGGCGGGGAACCCCACCGTAGGAACGGTACGGTACAGTGTACCTTGCCTTATATCCCGTCACAAGAGAACCTGACCTTTTGAGTCTAAAATACCCCTCACTTCCAGTCACGGTTTATCCAATTCAAGGCCAGATCCTCGTCGTATTGAATAGCTAGCCCCCTTGGAACATTGCGGGAGGGTGGTGATATAAATGAGGCTATGAAAACGAATGAATAAAGCAGAAAGCAAGACTGGACAAAGATGCAGAGGTAGCGAGTTTCTCTCGGAGTATGGCATACCTAAGGTAGGAAGTTCTAGGCCATCTCAAAGGCAAAGGGCGCTAATGCATGCCGCCATGGGCCCAATGGAATTCAACTTTTCGGTTGGCACCGTGGACGAGCTGAAGGTGAGGTGCCCAGGCTTTTCACTCTCGTCTGGCCCGCCGGGCAGCCGTGACCCGTCGTCTTATCCGAGCCCGGAGCGCGCCGAATTGATTGGATCGATTAACTCTGGCGGGAGTCGGTCCCGTCCAATTATTTCCCATCTCAGCGAGCAACGCCAAATCTCTCTGCGAAAGACGAGCCTGCTGTCACCGCATCCCGCTCTTTGTACCGCGCCTACCTTGACTTAGTGGGTGTGTACTGCCCGTACTACGGAGTATACCTACCACCGTACCGCACTGCAGCAACATCGTAGCACCGCCACTACCTGGACAGTGGACTACCTTCCTTGCTAGACATTTCTCAACCACAACCTTAACCCCCCAAACGCCAGTCGCGCGACACCACCGCCCCCAGAACCCAGAAACGCGGGCCTCGGTGTTCTTACCCTGTCGACAACCAGGTTTACTATTGCTCTTGTCGTAGAGAACGACTCTTGGTCTATTGCACAGCAACTGCGACTTTTTTTGTTCTTTTTATTATTCTTGCCTTTTTTTGGGCTTCTCGTCCGCGCGGCAAAATCCAGTTCCCAGCAATTTCCCACGCTACTGAACTACACCGATTTTGCTCCATCGCTAGCAAAAGTCGGGCACAGAGAAACCTCTGCACCACCACCCGACGACGAACGACGTACACGACGCAGAAACCGCTTCAACACAGGAACGCAACCAAAAAACCACCATGGCCGACGATCCCCAGCCGGGCAGTCCCAAGTCGGACCCAATCGAAGCAAAGGAGGACGCCGAGACCGCCGCTGCCCGCAAAGAGCTGAAGCACACGGCCATCTCAGAGAAGTCCTCCGCGGCGGAAGGAGCCACTGCCGACACGACGCCTTCGGGGTCGCAAAACGAGGACCACAAGGACCACGTCTCGTCGCCCAAGAAGAAGCGGGCGCACGATCAGCTGGACGAGGACAAGGACGCCGACGAGGCCGACGTCAAGAGTGTCGCCTCAAGCGACTCGGCCAAGGACAGGGCTTTGCGGCTGGAGCCGGAGAAGAAGAGACATAGGGACGAGGTTGCCGGCTCTGGTGACGCTGCGGCCGATTCCACTGTAGGCTTTGATCTTGACGCATGTGGTTTTGCCGTGCATACTGACGCTGTTCCCTTCTATAGGCGCCACCGACTACCGATACCAAGACGACAGAGAAAGCCGCAACAGAAGCTACATCACAGGATTCTACAAAGGACGAGAAGAAGGGAACGTCGAGCTCTGCGTTTGCCAGCTCTGGCTTCGCTAAATTGGCGGCATCAAGTGCGTCCCCCTTCGGCTCGCTAGGAAGTGCGACCAAGGGAAGTGTCTTTGGTGGAGCGAAGGCTGGCGCATCACCCTTTGGCGGTTTATCTCCATCCAAGCCTGATGCCGCCCCGGCTCCTACACCTACCCTGAGCTTCGGCGGTGCCGGCTCGGCCTCGTCGCCTTTCGCCAGCGTTAAGCCCGCTGGCGCAAACGGCGGGTTTGGCTCAGCGTTTGGCAGTGCCTTTGGCGGCGGTCTAGGCGGCAAACCACTTTCGAGCTTCGCCAAGACGGGCGAGTCTTCCTTTAAGACCGAAAAAGCCGCCAAGCCGTTCGGAGCTCCTGACAGCGACGCGGAAGACGACAACGAAGACGAGACTGAAGGCGATGCCGATGGAGCCTCAGAGTCTGGCGACAAGGACGAAAAGGAAGAGTCTGACAAGGAAGAAACCAAGGCTGGGGACGACAAGAAACGTACCAAGCTGCAGAAGAGTAAGCAGGCGTTTTCTATTCCGGGACGCACAAAGTCATACTAACCTCTTGTAGTTACTGTCGACGACGGCGAGGCTGGTGAAGCTACCATAGTCCAGGTCAGAGCCAAGATATTCTACTTGGAAAAGGAGGTTGGCTGGAAGGAACGCGGATCTGGTATGCTTAAGATCAACGTTCCCGAGGCTTGTGTCCAGTTCGACGAAGGTGGCTTGCCGATACCTGGCTCCTTTGATGCATCAGCTCTGGAAGACTTGGAAGATCCCGAGGCTGGCGAGAGCAGAGGCAGCAAGGTGCCTCGTCTC